CCTGGCGGGCGCCCCGGCCCCTCCCGTGCACGCCATCAACAGGTAGGTCCCCCCGCAGGGCCTGATCCTGCCTGCGGTGCCCAGCAAGTGCAGCCACCCGCAAGCTGCACCAGAGCCAGCGGCTCAGCCAGGCGGCCACGGTGTCCTTGGCCACCTCCCCGCCAGCCCATTGCCATGGTTTGTGTCGTGGGAAAACACTGACACGGCCCTGCTGGTTGGATCCGTTTTCCAGGGGTATTTTCACGGAAGGGATCTCCTGCATCATAGCCGGGCTGCTGGGAACGGGCAACGGCTCCACCTCCTCCAGCCCCAACATCGGCGTCCTGGGCATCACGAAGGTACTGCCGGGGCCCAGGCACCGCGTCCCCCTCGGAGCACCCCAGGGCTCGCTCGGAGCTCAGCTCCCAGGGCAGGGGCTGCTTCCCGCTCGGCTCTCGGCTGCGCTCAGCCGTCTGCTTTGGTAGACACGGTTCCCCCGGGGCTGGCCTGTTGCTGCTGCTCCTCTACCTTGTCCTGGCAGAGGTTTAGAGAGTTTAGAGGGTTTAGGAACCTCTGGAGGGTTTAGGTCCTTTCCACCCAGAGCAGCACGGGGGCTCGGATGTGGCGCCAGCACATGGAGGAGCTGCCCGCTGTCCACGCAGTCTTCCTCCTTGAAGGACATCAGAGCAGCCCAACAGGGCAGCCCTCTGCCTGCTCTCCCAGACATCGAGGGGACAGCACACACCAAGTGCCATGACCCCAGGCAACGCCTTTGTACGCAACGTTTCTTTGCCGAGTGCTTTGCAATCCAGGGATCACCAGAGCTCTGCAGGCCGCAGCGATGAAGTGTGGATGGCCACGGGCCAGCTCGCCTCGCTTCACTGCCCATTTCCCCGTGCAGGTGGGGAGCAGACGGGTGATTCAGTACGGCGCAGGCATCATGCTCATCCTAGGAAGCATCGGCAAGTTCACCGCTCTGTTTGCCTCGCTCCCAGACCCCATCCTCGGGGGGATGTTCTGCACGTTATTCGGTAACCCCTCCACAAGTGCCCGTCTGCCTGTCAACCCCAAGCGCCGGCAGATCCCCGCGCTTGGAGGGGCCCTTTCCCCTGGGCCTGCCATGGGCCTGAATCTCCTCTGCTTGCAGGCATGATCACAGCCGTCGGCCTCTCCAACCTGCAGTTTGTTGACATGAACTCCTCCCGCAACCTCTTTGTCCTGGGATTTGCCATGTTTTTTGGGCTGACATTGCCAAACTACTTGGATTCCCACCCCAACGCCATTAACACAGGTACGCCGCCCCAGCAAGAGCCCCAGAGCGCGGTTCATGTTTTCGGTTGCCCCGGCACGAATCCCCTCCCCTACCAAATTCTTGGTTCGATAATGTTTAGCGAGAGAGGAACACGGATCTCTCGGGCACTATGAGAGCAGCCGGGTAAGAAGTGATTAATAAGGCAAATCTTGATCCCGACAGACATCCTTCCATGAGAACATTGTGGAGATTTAAGGCTCTTGCCAGGGCATATCAGATCTAGGCCCGCGTTAGGTGGTTACTGTTTACAGCTGGTGGTTTCCTCCCCTTTTGAAACCTGCCTTTAGCAGCCCTGGCCACCTCAGCAAAAGCCTTGCTGGCTAAACTGCGCTTGTGTGAACATTTATAAAGCAGAATGCGAGTTAAACCGGGGCAGAGGCCACAAGGTAAGGGAAGCCCTGCACCTGAAAGCTCCTCTGATACAAGTGACAAGGAAGACGGTGCGAGTAGATGGCAACATCTTTAAACATCATTTGAGTGGCCTGGGGCTAAACAGGAGTGAGGTGAGGACCCTGACAGCATCCATGAGACCAGCGCTGAGCAGCAGCCCCGTGTCCACCGCGACCCGTGTCTCTCAGCTCCCTTTTGGATGGCGTCGCCTCCTGCTCCTCCTCCTCCCCTTCTCCCTCCTCCCCTGCTCCGCAGTAAACGTCTTGCCTGAACTCTCGCAGGTGTCCCGGAACTGGACCAAATATTTACAGTGCTCTTAACGACAGAGATGTTTGTTGGGGGGACCATTGCCTTCATACTGGACAACACCATCCCAGGTAAACCTCCCCAGAGCCACAGGTAGAAAAACAGAGGGGTTTATCCAGGTCTCATCCCTTCTAGGGCACTCGGAGACACCTGTAATTATTACTCTTTAAACGCAGCAAGAGACTATTGCAAGGCTGCAGGTGCCTTCGTGGTTAGCAAAGCCCCACCGCAGAGTCCCCACCGTGCTGCATGGGGAGGGTTCCAGAGAGCTTCCCCCATAACCAGAGTTTTGCTGGTTACTGCTCCCTGCGCCCCACGGAGCCACCGAGTGTGGCGGCGCCGGCGGCTGAGCTGAACAACAGGTCTCTGCACGCGCAGCCGAGCACCAGCAGGTCGCTGCCACAAGTCGCTTGGGCCAAGGCCACGGCGGATTTTTCTACTCCTTTAAGGAAGGCGCTGCGTTGTAAACGCTGGTGCTGAGGCTGCTTGGCCAACGCGGCCTTGCAGACACCAGTGTTCAGCGCCGGGAGGCTCCCGTCTCCACAGCGCTGCCTCTGTAAGGGACCCGCGGAGCAGCCAGCGCTCTGCTGCTTCCCAAGGCGCCGTTCTGCTGCCCCTGCGCCAGCCAAGCTCCATCCCCTCCACAGGGACGCAGGAGGAGCGGGGCCTGGTGCAGTGGAAGGCCGGGGCGCACTCGGACAGCACGACAACGGCGAGCTTGAAGAGCTACGATTTCCCCTTCGGGATGAGCATTGTGAGGAAAAGCCGGTGGCTCAAGTACGTGCCCATCTGCCCCGTCTTCCGAGGCTTTCCCTCGAGAACAAGGCGAAGCTGCGAATCAACCGAGAGCGCCCACAGCAACGCAGACAACCTCTCCGTGTGCACAAAGGTCTGAACGCAGGGCAGGACGGGCAGCGCGGGCCGCCCGCCGCCAGCCTCGCGCCTCGGCTCTCCCCGGGGGGCTAAGGGAAGGCCAGGACAGAAAAGCCAAACGCCAGAGAGGAGCCCGCGTCGAGCTCCTCCCAGGCCACATCTGAGCAGCTTCGCTGCAGGGTTTCCAGAACCCACCAAGCCCAAAGCCAAGGCTGCTGCTGCTCGTAACCAAGACTAGGCACTTTCAGGACAGCATTAGCCTGTTTTTAACTTAAAAACGCGAGCACAAACTCCACCTTGACAACATCTACAAGCAGCAGCACTCCCCAGGTACCAGCTTCAGAACAAGCACCACTGTGTAATTCAAATAACTCCACCTTAAACTGGTTTTCGAGTTGTCCAAAGCTTTGATGAAACCCACAGCTCTGGTCAGAGCTGGCTCAAACTTGCAGGGCCACTAGCACCAGCCAGAATCATGAACAGCCACCCAGGGCCACGACGTCCACGCGAAACCCTCAACCTCCGCTAGGTCTCTCTGTGGGTTTAAGCTGGCTCTGTGCAGAGTCCGGTACTCGGACCCAACACTGGTATGTCAACTTTAAGATAATGCCTTTAATAAAGAAACCTATTTGCCACATGTGTTTTCAGTGATTTCTCCCGGCTCGCTTCCTCTGCACCATGAAGGTTTTGGGCCCGCACAAGGGGCGGCTGCTGCGTGGCAAAGCTCCCTTGCCGGCCGCCAGCTCCAGCTCAAGGCCACTCGGGTGCAGCTGATCCTCGCGGCTCCGAGAGCTCCTCTCTCCGGGCGCTCACGCAGAGGGCGAGGGCGGAAAGCAGGAGCTCCCGGCAAACCAGCCATGCTGCCGAGGCTGCCGGAACAGCAGCTCCAGCCCCGGCCACACATCGCTCCATGACTCGAGGGCCGGACAGCACGCGGGATACACGGCTGGTGGCCTCAGCGCAGGAGACACCAATGTCAGGCCCAATTTTGGCAGTGGTTCTGGCTTGGGGGTGGGTGTTAACCTGCCTGTGGGCACTAGGCAGGAGGCAAGTCATGCCCAGGAAGCCCTAAAATGCCAAGTGCTCCCTGCTCCGATTCCAGCAGAGGATCTGCTCCCCATCAAGGGATTACAGAAAACACCTGCAGGTAGCAGAACAGCCCCTCCTGCCACATAAAGGCACCTATTTGCAACCTGCAAACAAGAGCTTTGCTGACACTGCTCTCGGGGCAGGGGCGGGGGGGGTCCCCGCTTCAAAAACTTCTCCCTTTCACAGGGTTCGCTAGCACAGCACAAGAAAAAAGGAAGAGGAATGCAGCTGTTCAGCAACCAGCCAGCTCCTCGAGGCCTTTAGCTGCCGGCCATCCCCAGTTAATCACATCTGGGTTAAAATCTTCACACAGTTTCAGTGCGAGGGCTAAGGCTGCAAGAACGGACATGGTACCCCGGAGAGGCTTTCTCTCCAGCTAGGAATGAGCCACCGCCAGACAGCAGGTCAGTCCTGACCTCCTCTCCAAGTGCTCAAGCGCCAAACTTGAATCTAACAGTTTCTGTGGGCCAGCAAGTGCATCTAATGCGCAGCCTATTCACACTCGTTGTAGCCCCGCGAGTTTCTGCAGAGTTTAAGACTTCACAGGAGGAAAAAGGAGCATCTGGAGGCCGATCTCAGGCTGCTCTCCCGGATGAGCTTGCTGCAAGCAGCAGCGCAGGCAGCGGATCCGGCGCGAGGCGCTAGCATCCCCCCTCACGCTGCCAATTCTGCGCTGCCACAGGGATGCGGATTCATGAGACAGCCACAAGTCAGTTCTACTATTATTTATTTTTTTAAATATTTTTGAAAAAATATAATTTTTTTACAATATTTTCAACTTAAACACTATTCACACTGAACACGTATGGCAGCTTAACCTACCCAAATATGAAGTTTAAGAAGCCAAAACTGTTCTAGCTTTATTAAAAGAAAAAAAAAGTTGTTGTGCTGTAGACTATTGTGTAGTGATGATTAAACAAAGCAAGGGAAAAGCACCACTCAAATCACTAATGCTAGGGTTTCCTTGGTTAAATCCAGCTATATTAAAGTTGTATGCTAAAAGTTACATAGACAGCGCTATGTATCTGGGTTCTTGGAAGAAACTGTGATGAAACTCACATCTCCTTTAATACAATTAGGAAGAGAAGCATTTCTAACATGATAACATACTGGAAATACAGGAAATTTCTTCCTTCCAATCACTTGGATGTTAGTTCAGTAGCTGAGATCTAGGACTCTGTACAGGTCTGTAAAACTTCTGTTAAAGCCTGTGCTGCTTTTCAAGCAGCAGGAGGGATTTTTTTTCCAAGGGGAAAAATTAACATTAGTTACAATACTGATATTTCAAAGGAAAGTTAGCTAATTTGCATAACAATCAGATAACCTTGCTTTCATTTTAAAGTTAAGGCATTATCAGGTGCAAACTAGCACCAGTTAACACATCTTTAGCTAAAAAAGAATAGAAAACAAAACAAAAAAAAAACAGACCATCCTTAGCAAATTCCAAATCCTATTAAAAAGACAGAGTCTGCAGAAGTTTTTATATGTGGTACTTTGTCTCAACTTGACTGGTGCTTCTTACCTCACTGTCTCCTTTGCAAAGAGCCAGGGTCCAATTATGTTTCCATTAAACTTTTGACAGATTTACTTAACAGTCTCAGCACTTTTATTGAGCATGCAAGACTAACAAAACTTTGGCAATGCATAAGTGTAACACAGTGACAAGAAGAGAGCTTTTACAATTAAATCTTCTAATACTGGCTTCACAGTGTGGAAATTGTGCTACATCCACCAAAAGAGGGCCCAGTCTACTCAAATATTTAGTACTTCACCCCAGGAACAAACTCCTTTGCGTTTGGATTCAGATTACTCTTGACCTAAGGAAGGGAAAAACAGAAGTCCAGTTGAAGCATCATTTTCATCCTCCGCTTTCAAGCTGAACACACCACCACTTTAGCAGATTTCTTTCCTAACAGATTCAGAATAGCAGGGTTTAAATGCACTGCCTCTATACTCATTAAAAAAAAACCCAGCCCCTGCTAGTAACTATCCAGCCTTCATTAGCACCAGCTGGAGGTTTCAATCCAACAAGGGCTCAGGGACTAAGGAGCAACAACCCTAATGCACACAAATAGAGCAGCTCTCAGTACTGCTGGCAGCCCTTCCTGAAGTTGAACTGCTAAATGTGTCACAAGGCTTTTTGATCTTGCTTATTTGAGCAAAAAAGATTCGTTCAAAGAAGTTAAGCCACTTCTCACAATTAAAATACAACACTGAGTTTTCTCCTGCCCGTGAGTACCCTTTCCACTCAGCTGGCACGCAGCTGCTCTACAACCTTCTGCAGTTATTTTGGTAGCAGTTACAGGTGGGCAGGCAGCCATCTCCAAAATGAGCTATTTATTGTTAAGAAAGAAAAGGAGGATTAGGCTTTTGTGGTCTTAACAGGGTTAGAAACTGCTTGCTGCCTTTATCTCCTTAAGCCTGGGAAATCAGAGTTCTGTACCTGATCTTTTACAGCAGCTACGTGAATGTTTGTGTGGGTTTTGTGCCACCAGTAGCTCCATTACATCATCTGCGAGGCAAAAGTGCCAAGACTGCCCTTCCCTTTGAGCTAAGCAGGGGACTGAAGCTGTCCACCAGAACCAAGAAAACAACAGCAGTGTAGCTATTCCCTCTTCCTATTCCACAAAAATATTTGCCGCTGTTCACACAGAATCATAGAATTGTTAAGGTTGAAAGAGACCTCTAGAGGTCACCTAGTCCAACTCCCCTGCACACACAGGGTCACCTAGAGCACGTGGCACAGGACATGTCCAAATGGGTTTTGAAGATCTCCAGAGAGGGAGACTCCACAACCTCTCCTGGCAACCTGTTCCAGTGCTCTGTCACCCTCACATGATCCAAATCAAATCTTAGAATGTGATTTGCGTTCACCCAGCACATGTTAAGTGTTGGAAGTTGGAACCTTAAAGCTTTGCAGCCCTGACACTGACCTTCCCTTCACAAAGGCAGCACGATTCGCTCGCTGCCCTTCCTCCACAGGGCAGCACACAGCCCCAAACCCAAATTTATGCCACGGTCTAGGAAAGGCCCTGAGCAGCTAGGAGCAAAACCACTGAACCAGTTGAGTCAGCTAAGGAAATGCACTTAGCCAAGCACCCATGTTTCCCCCTCCACCACAGCCGTGCGGTGTGAGAGTGGCTCTCCTGCCTATAAAGGGCTTTCTGTTGCCCTTACCAGAAGCAGGAACCAGCCTTACACAGGGAGAGCTGCTGAGTTTTAGAAATAAGGTGAGAAAGTGAATTTACCACCAGATCCTCCAGTGATGAGCTGTCACTGATAACAAGGTCGTTGAACTGGTCCTGGATTTGATCCATTGTTTGTGGGAGATCACGGGCTGGAATAAACCATTCGTGCTCCTCCTCCTCTTCCAGCATCTCTTGGAAACAGCGCTCAATAAATTCTTCTTCCCACAATTCCTCTTCAATCTGCACAGACAGAAACAATTTTATCAAAGCTCTTGAAAGGCCGTGCTCTTATTTCAGGGTTGGGCTACCCAAGTGGCTGCCTTTCTTGCACTAGGACTCCTGGCAGGACGACTGCTTGTAGCTGTAGGAAGACAAGCAGCTTTAATCCTTTCACAGGGAAAGTTGTCCCAAGAACTCGGGCTCTGGTAAGATGAGGATGGCAGGAGAGCTTAGTCCTAGCTGTCTAGTCCACGGGTTTAGCGTGGGGAACTTGCTCCAACAAGAACATTGGTTCTAAGCACCAAGTTTCCTTTGTGCCAGCTTGTCTGTCCCAAACCCACCACTGTCCCTAGGTGAAGCATAAGGAAGGGACTCGGGGATGTGCGTAGCCCTCAAGAGAGGAACGCCCCTCCTGGGCAGCAGATGATGCTTTCACACAATGTATTTTTCATAAGAAACTCTGCGGGATGGTAGGATTCATTAACAAGGTTGACCTGCAGCACAGACCGGCTGACGCAGACCGGAC